AGAGCCTCAACTTCACTCACTTATAGTAGAAGGTTACAATCCAAATTTAGTTTACCGCTAGAAATTTTGTTTTTCACTCATGGGTAACAATCTGTCCGAAGGGGAATTTTTATGCCACAAGCGTTTGACTGGAAGAAAGTGCACACTGTCAACAAACCTGATATTTGGTCTGAGCGTCAATGCAACGCTATGGACATGGTACAATCTGCCACTTCTGTTTAGACAATGTCAATGCTAATGTCTCTACTGCAGCTCCAAATTAACTTTACCATCATCTTAGGAACATCCTGAGAAACAACTTTAATCATCATAGCTTTTTTTTTTTTTTTTTTTTATGAGATAGGACCAGGATTAATCTTGCACAAAGCAAGGTCGGTCCTAGCTGACAGAGGATCTTCATTTATCTCTCCACATACGTCCGTCACTAGCATCAGCTAGTTCTAGGCCCAGTTTCCCCTCAACCAATGTCCATCTGAAAAACAACCTCCCAAATCACTTGGGGCATCCCCTTCTGCTTCCCTCAACTGTCAACTCACAGATCAGTTTGATAGGACCCAGACTGCGCTAAATATGGCCAGCTAAGTGTAGTCTACAGCAGTGATTAAAGCCTACCAAGACCTAGCGAGTCTGATCTGACCTCATCCTCAGCAGACATGCCACATATCCAGCGTAGCTTGAGGTGGTTGAAGTCCATTCTCAGCAGGGGTCCATGTCTCACTAGCATGCAGCAAGGTTCTGTATACACTACCCTCTGGTCTTAGCCAGGAGGCAGTAGTTGGTGGAATTTTCTTTCATGTGATGGTGGCCAGCTTGAAGACAAAATGTCACTCAGGTAGCAGAAGTTGGCAACCACCATGAAGGCAACAGCACCAACAACCACTTTGGTGAGGGGGTGGCAATTGATTGGTCACGCCTCACCTTTGCCACACTTACATTTGAAGCATGTTAGGCATGACGGGTTCATGTTGCATCAGCCAAAAGAAAAAAAAATTTGAAATCATCCTAAAATTAATTTTTTAACTTATTTATAGTTGTGAAAAAAAAAAAGTTTAATATATATATATATATATATATATATATATATATATATATATATATATATATAATGCGTGTGTGTGTGTATAAATTTCCAAGAATAGAATCCAGGTAGAACTCAATATCCAGGACAGAGTAAGAATATAATATAAAAGGCTCAAACACTTCTTTTTGAATTTGTAGGTCTGATGAATTGGATCGCGATTACAATTCCAATGTAATAACTTATAACCATGGAATATTAGTGTTTGAGTGTTTTATATTATAAAAAGCTCAAACACTAACATTATTTTAAAGGCTCAAACACTAATATTCCATGGTTATAAGTTATTACATTGGAATCATAATCATGATCCAATTCAAATTGGGAATGTATACACACACAACTAATATATATGTATATATATATTTAGGAAATATTTAATTAAACTTAAAAATTAATAGATTTCAAATTAGTTAACTTACAGTAATTTTTATAAGAATCAAAACTAAACCTTTCAGTTAAGTCACCTTGAATATGTTATTTTAAGCCTGAAAATTATCAGACATCAATTTAGCAATTGTACATTCATTTTCTACACATAGTATCATGTCCCAAATATTCACTATAAAAAAAAAAGAAAAAAATTTTTTTTTTTATTAAAATATTTTAATTTACAATTTCCTGCTTCATGTCGTGACAAAATTTTTATGTTTATCATTTTCTAAATTATCCTTTGTTTAAGCAGAAAACTGAACATGTTGATGGTTCATTGAGATATTTCAACTAAAAAAAAAAAAAAATTGACAGAAAAATATAATTTTTTGGTTTTGTTTAGTAATGTCAAATTAGTTCTTACAATCAGATCCTCATGCTTTTCTTGTTTATGTAATAGAAATATAAAAATTTAAGTCTTTAAACCTTTATTCACCAGTTTAAAAGAGGCGCTCAACCCTTTCCCCCCCCAGCATAGACATGCATTAACACTTTTACTGAAATGGCCTTTTTCAAGCACTGACGAATAAACACGCCTAGAACATAACATTTGAAAACCAGCTGCAGATTTGTTTATACGATGATCTTGATTCTTTTTATTCCCCTCAGAGTTTGAAACAAGTTCAATTGTCAACTCATGTGTCCCATAGAGGTGTTAGCCATCGCTCGGATATGTCAAGGTGCCTCAATTTCTTAGTTACTACATTAACAGATTGCGACAGCTATTAAGGAGATGTGATTAAATATACTTTAATGTTTAAAAAAAAAAAAAAAATTATTCAGTATTATTATCTGTCTATATTTCTGAGATGAGATATTATTTACATTATTCGGACTATTGTCCTCATCTTTGTCGCCATATTTATTACATTTCAGCTGTTGCATGCTCTGGACTTCTTCAGGTGGTTGGAATGTCTGAACAATGTAAATAAAGTATTATTATTGTTTAAGTAATAGGCATTATAACATAGCACAAATAAGTATATTGTGGAAAAGGAATTTGACAATATACGCATTTTTTTTTATTACATATTTACGGTTATTTTTTATCCCGTGACCCGTAGGTTCGTTGAGGCACCATGTGTACTGCATCCACAGCATAAGTGGTGTTTCTTGGGCAAGATACTTTGATGAGGCCTAACCCTCTCCAGGACGGTTTTGAATTCGGAGTTTTTCCTTCTCCTTGACTGGATGCCATCCAAAGTTTGTTCTGCAGTCTGTGGGGAGAAGATTCATACCTTTCCCAAGGGTATTAGCATGTAAGTGAATGCATCTGACTGGAATTCGAACTTGGCTCTCCAATTTCTCAATCCGAGCCACTATCCATTATTTTAACTTTTAACAAAAACGACATTCTTGTACATGTAGTTATGGATAATATTATATATTAATTACTTATTTTTTTTTAATTAATAACTGTTTGTGCTTAATTTAAATCAAAGAAAAAAAAATTCAGTGAAGTTGGTTTTGCCCCACCCCTGACCCCTTTGTTCCAAGTACCCTAGGAGTGATACCCCCCACCCTTTTTTACTACGGTTGTGCTAATTTAGTTCGCATTAAATATTAAAATATTGGTATTTCTTACAGAATATTTTCATTGACAAACAAAAGCCATTGTAATTTATTTACAGATCGCAACAGCTATTAGGGAAATGTGATTAAATATACTTTAATGTTTAAAAAATATCCAGTGTTATTATATTGTTTTGGTAATAAGCTGAGGCGAATGAAGAAAACAGTAACCAGCGAGTAAATTCAAGCTCTCCCAACTGGTATTTCAACCTTGAGTCGTTCCTTCTTGAGTTCTGTCTCCAAATCACACTAACTGCCCGTTCTTGCCGTCAACTGTGAACGTCCCTCGAAGAACTCCCCAACTCGGAAAAAAGTAGTTGTTTTTATAGTTGTTCATATACCCATAATCCCTTGCGTCTTCACGTGATCCCATAATTCATTGCGTCCATATCCCATAATGCATTGCATCGTTATTGCATAGAAATGCGATGACAGTCCCCCCCTCATTCTTTTACGTTATCTGGCCGAGGATGTATTACGGCAGAGCGGTAAGTGATTTTTTTTCTCTCCCTCATTTCAACTGCAGTAGCTTTACATGCTAAGCAAATACGGGCTCTTTTTTGGCGGGGACAAGGCAAGTCGCGACCAGTTGTGCTCGTCCCAGGTTCTGTCTCATGTCCGCCACATAAGCATTATAACATAGAACAAATAGCTATATCGTGGAAAAAAAAGAATTTGACAATATACACATTTTTTACGCATTTGTGGTTATTTTTTTAATTTTTTCGAAAAACAACATTCTTGTACATTTAGTTATGGATAATATTATACATTAATTACTAATTGTTTTAATTAATAACTACTTGTGCTCATTTGTTGACATTAAATAGCTATCTGCTGATGTGTGAAAATTTTGGAATAACGCAATAATAAAAATTTACATTTCATCTCTCTGAGAGATGTTGTGATCTGTAAATTCAAGTAGCTGTGATGGTAGACGTTCCGATAAGTGTGTATTCTTCCTAGCGTAGACGTGTATATACGTTTTTACTGAAATTGTCTTTTTCAGACATGGACAAATAAACCCGTTCAAAAAGAGATGTGTTTATACGTCAATCTCGATTCTTTTCATGTCCATTTGTGCTTGAAACAAGTTCACTTGTCAACATTATATATATATATATATATATATATATATATATATATATATATATATATATATATATATAAATAAAATATTATAAACATACCATTTAGTCATTAATCTTTTTATATATATTATCTTGTGTATTTCTTCTGGTTCTTACATAATAAATAAAAATTCTTTTGCGGACACGGACAAATAAACATGTTCAGAACATAATATTTCAAGAACCAGCTACAGAGCGTTTATAAGTTGATCTTGATACTTTTTATACCCTTCTGAGATTGAAACGAGTCCAATTGTCAGCTCATACGTCTGGTAGAGGTGTTAGCCACCCGCTCGGGTACTTCAACTATGCAACTGAGCACTTGTCGCATTATAGATGAAGAGAGAGAGAGAGATGAAGAGCTAATCTGATTCACAACCCATTTATACATTTCAATTTATTCAATCACCACAAGAAGTCATCCTTCACCATTCGATCCAACATATACCACAATACCACATATTCACAGGGATCCTACTAAAATAGGCATGACATAAAAATTTGATAATATACAATTTTTTTTTTTTTACAAAAAAATATATATGGTATGAAATGAGAGGGGAGGGGATGAACCCAATAAGGAAAATAAAGTACAACAAAAACATTCAAAATAGAAAAAAATTTTTTTTTTTAATTTGAATATGGAGAAGGTTTGTCAGATAATTTATAGCAGTGCATGTTTTAAAATAAATGTGAAATCAAAATCCCAAATGTTAAATGATGGAAGAAAATTCATCGTAAATTATAAAAATAATGATAATAAAAGACAGTAAAATTTACCACTTTACCTTGCAAAAATTTGAAGATAACATCATGGTGGAAGAGGGTCGTTTGAGGTCCTTGTGTAATTAAGACATCATCATCGCCGTCATCATCATCATCATCGTGATCATCCTGATCATCACCTTTAAAAGTGGCCAAATCATACTGATTAATGGGCAGTCTTGATTTTGGGGGGAAGGGGTGATTTTCTTTGTCCAAAAATAAAATAAATTAAAAAAAAAAAAAAAAAAAATAATATTAAAAAAAACTGTAAAAAAAAAAAAAAAAAAAAAAAAATTATATATATATATATATATATATATATATATATATATATATATATATATATATATATATAAAAAAAAAGCTAAATATATGAGGGAGGCAGAGTTTATATTGCTTCAGGCCCAAACTATTTATCTTTTTTTCATCATTGCCTTAGAAGCATCCCATCCCAACGCCAAGACACAACTTTAACACGAATCCACCAACAATTTAAAAAAAAAAAAAAAAAAAAAAACACCCTTAACCTTTTTTAAGCTAAACTATTTTACCATATGGTTAGCTTTTTTTTTTTTTTTTTTTTTTTATTATTTATTTATTCCTTTATATGCCATGACCCTTCAGGATGTAGATGGTCATGACTCAACAGATTCCTTTTGCTTTATTATTAGAATTGGCATACTTAGGAAAGATAGTGGAGTAGCTTTCTATAGCCTTCTCTCTTGTTTCGAATTCAGACTTTATAATCTATAAGAAAATAAATAAATAAAAAACCAAAGATATAAAGTGCTTGGGGGGATATATTCCTTCAGGATTCCAAAATTCTTTTCTAATTTTTCTTTTTTTTTTGAAAACCATCAGCTCAGAACTATCCCGAAAGACAATATAAAAAAAAAAAAAAAAAAAAAAAAATCAGAAATCAAGATTTTCTTGTTTTTAGCGATTATTTATAAAAGCTAGGGCTTTATTTTTTTTGTTTTTTTGTTTGCTTAAATGATGTCCATTTAGGAGGTAGACATTCCTGGCTCTCAAGATACCATTTTTCTTTACTATCTGAATTGCCATACCATCTTAGGAAAGATACTGAAGATGGTCTTTTACATGGTTTGGAATTCAGTGTCTTCCTTCTGGTTGCCATTCAAGGCTAAAAATTCCAGTTTTGTCTCTTTAACTTCTTCACTTTTAGTTAAGTTCAAATTCATTACATTCAATTATATGCAAATACTTTGATTCTATCTTCTCCACCCCCAGCTATAGGTTAAATAGTAGTACATCTGGTGGGAAAAAAAAATAACAAAAAAAAAATCATTATTCGCAACCATTAATACAATATTCACTCACAAAAAATTCTTAGATACCCCAAAAATGTTTTAGTCATAAATAACCCTCAGTGGGGTGATAAGCTGTATAAAAAAAAAAAATAAAAAAATAAAAATCCTGAAAATGCCAATACCTACCCTACTCTACCCTACCCTGTGCACACATAAGCCAAAACTTCCAAACTGCGTACTGTGAAACAAATTAAAAATAAATTTCATCTATTTACACAAAATCTTCATCTGCTGTTGCTACCACATTTCAGCCATTGTGCTCTCCAGCCTTCCTCAGGTGTATATTGATTTGGGTAACCCTTTATTTAATCTACAGGAGTAGACTGTTCCCATTCCACTCACTGCCCATGTCAAGGGATAGCGAATTCTATTTTTTCTTTCTAGTAGTGTTCAGTTATTGTTTGTCAGTTTCCACCAAGCCAAAAATACACGCCGTGGGACAATGGTCGAGTGCAGAACTTCTTAAATTATGGGCCACAGCCCCAAATGGTGTCATTAAGAGAAATACCAAGATTGCGAAAATTAAATTAAAAAAACTTGGAATTTAAGTTTCAGTGTTATTTATACAAATACAAAACATTTAACGTGATGCATCACACAGGTGCTGCAGTAATAAAACACACATGCAGCACTGTTGCAACTAGCACAGTAACAAGTATTTTCAGTTGGTTAATATTGGGGGGGCGAAAAATCTGGTAATGAAAAGTGGGGTCAAGAATGAAAAAAATGTTTAAGCACTGGTCTAGTGCAGGGGTTAGCAACCTATGGCACACGTGCCACGCCCAGCAATTACCAATAGCATGCAATTGCAAATGACATCACAAAGATTGAACCAATAATTACGACAACGCAAAGAAGATATTTAACCATTTCAATTTTAGTATATACTAAAGTATATATACTATGTATTAGTGTATAAAATATATTGTAGAACAGGTATATTGACCTTGACTTGTATAAAAATACGTAGGCTGTTGGCACACTGAATGATTTTAAAACCCTAAGTTGGCATATAGTTAGCAAAAGGTTGCAAATCTCTGGTCTATCTAATTGGCTCTTCGACTCTTCTTTCTATTTCTTTCTGTCTTAATTCTTTCTTTCAGACTTTTTCAATTCTTTCTTAATATGTTTTAGGGTCTATCTCAGGGGTTAGCAATCTACGGCACACATGCCACACCAAGCAATTTCCAATGGCAGCCGCAAATGACATCATGAAGTCCGAACCAATAAACTCCTACAATGCAAAGAAGACATTTAGCTGTTTTAATTTTAATATCTACTAAAGTATATATACTATGTATTACTATATAAAATATATTGTAGAACAGGTATATTGGCCTTGATTTGTATAAGAATACATCTGCTGTTGGCTCACTGAATGATTTTAAAACCCTAAGTCAGCCAATAGTTAGAAAAAGGTTGACGACCTTGGTCTAATGGATGAAAATGTTGGTTTGTGAATTTGGTGACAGTGATTCAGAGTTCAATCCCTGGATTGGACAATTTGTACCATTATCAAACATCTTTTTATTATGGCTAATCACATACTTTTATTATAGTCGCCATTATCAAGGAGTTTTTTTTATATCATTGATAATGGTTAAAAGAATAGCCGAATGCATGAATTTACCAAATTACCAAAGAAGAATTTGTTATTCCAAATTGTAGTCAAAGCAATGGCAAACCACACAACTACCTTTCCCAAGAACTTATTGCAATTCATGAACAACCATGATTGCCTATGTCTAGCATAGAAAATGCCTCTTACCATAAAGAGATGGTGTGTATGTGTGTCTCCTGAGAGGTTAGGGCATTGATCTGTCAAGATATCTTGATAACATTGCTCTGGGGAGACTGCAGCAACATTGACAATTGCCTGAAAAATACTCAAAACAGTTGGCATCAGCTGAGCACTCTCCTTGAAACTGTAACTGGTCCACTCAGCATAGTTGCAGTTGGAGTATAAACTCCAGCTTCACTGAGCTTACATCTGCAACAAGGATTAGCTAATTCACCCTAGCAGATGAGTGTATTTGGAAATGTGCAGCCAGCCACTACATATGTACACACTTGTACAAATTAATTGAAACAAAATGAATAATTCCATTATTTAATTTTTTTGTATTTTTCCAGTGAAACATGACCCAGTACACATGTTAGTACTTCGTATGTCTTTTCTACGAAGTCGTTCCTTGCAGATTGATCACAGATTCTCAATTGGATTTAAATCAGGAGAGTTTCCGGGCCAGTCTATACTGGTAAGACTTGCCAATGTGTTTGTGCAGTGTTACAATTTTCATATGCTTCCTTGGAGTAATTGCCATTGCAGACAATGGCCGTAGGGCAACTAATCGACAGTCGAGACAATAGTGTCTGGGCGTGATAAAAATCTGATGGAATCACGGATTACGCAATATTTTTCTAGGCCAAACAAATTTCATCATGCATCCTGAAAATAGCTTCATATTACTGCACACCACTGCAAATGACCTAATCTCAGGAAAAATTTAAATCAATTACACCCTGTCACTCCAGTGGGTCTAAAACTGACCGTATGATGAAAGAAAGGAAACTAAAGCTGTTGTTTCAATTAATTTGCACAAGGGTGTATGTGCGCATATGTGTGGGTTACATTCTGTTCAGAGTATCGAATAGATAACTTAAACATACAATGATAGTTTATTTTTTCAAATTTTATGGACGAATAATTGAAAACAAAAAGCATGAATCGATGTCATCCTAAGTTAAAACATTAGCAAGACACCCACTATTGGACCTTATCATTTTAAAATCATGAAATGTCCATACAGACATAAACATCCCATCAACAGCTTGTGAGCCACTGATAATCTATAAATTACATGGATTCTTTTTTCAACATATCTAACTCAGGCCACTTTGTGTGTGCAAATTGCAGTCAGCTAGAGAGCCTACAACATTGTGTTTTTTTTTTAGGGCTGGTGGGGGGGGGGGACTATGGAAAGGATGCTTGCCCCATACCATAGCCAGAAGTTCAACATTATGAATTCAGCAAGTGCTTTCCTACTTTTCTCTCCTTAGGAAGGAAGGAAAGGTTTGGTAGTGACGGATGGCAAGGAACTGAGCCCCCCCCCGCAACCCATCAATTCCTCTTCAGGGGGAAGAAAAAAAAAAAAAAAAAAGTAAAAGTTTTTAGCAGATATTCAATTTCATGGATTAGTTTTCTGGGTCTTCCTCTCCTGGATGGGACCCCGGGGAGCTCATAGTCCAGTAAAAAGGAGCTGGCAATTGTGATTCCCAGCACCTCTGGAGTGTGTAAAATGAGGAAAGGAGGGAAAACTGAAAGTATTAAAAGATAGGGGATTAGTGAGGAAGTAACTAGGGTATTTGGGAAGTAGGGTTTGGGGAGGGGGGTGCAGCCAGGGAGCAAAATGCTGAGAGAGAGAGAGAGAGGCAGAAGCAAGAGATAGAGAGAAAGAACAAAAAAAAGGTAAGGAGATGTGAAGAAGAAGAAGAAAAAAAAAGGTAAGGAGATGTGAAGAAGAAGAAGAAAAAAAGGTAAGGAAATGTGAAGAAGAAGAAGAAAAAAAAAGGAGATGTGAAGAAGAAGAAGAAGAAAAAAAGACAAAGGGAAAACCAAAGGAGAGTATAAGAAGAAGAATAGAAGAAAAAAGCAAATCAAGGAAAGCAGATGCAAAAGGTCGAAATAGCCGCTACACAATCTTAAAAAGGTGTGTAAAAATCTGCTGCCATTCTTGAACAGAGTAAATTTCACCAGAAAAAGCATAAAAAAGTGGAAATTTATATTTTCTCTTTTTAGTTTACAAAGT